CCCTAGCTGGCGCGGTAGGCGCTGCGGGCATGCGCTGGTCGGCACTGCACGCGCGGTATGCGCGGCTAATGTTCGGGACCGACTCTTGCGAACTGTTTTTCAACTTTTCTAGTGACATGCATTATGTATCAACATAATATGATGAAATATACTTAAAAATATTGAGAAGCCCTAGGAGACCTCGGGTCTAATTATGCTTGGTCCGGTAGGGCCGTTAGGGCACGTGCGGACCTAGGGTCACCGAACCCACTTCTTAATCTTACTTAAATGATCAAGGTTGAATGTTAAGCAACATATTTCATGATTTTTGAGACTAAAAACAAGGGCAAAACTTGCATGCGTAATCATTTGACTCGTGGGATGAAAAATCGCATATTTTCGATGGCTAGTTGACCGAGTAAATGAACTCCAAAAATTCTCAAACTTATACACATCATTTCTTATGATTTTTAAGTGACCTTTGGCTATCAAACTCGGCTTTTACATGTTTGTGGTGAAAAATCCGAAATTAAGGTAATTAATTCGTAAAATTCAAAACTTGATGAAAATGACATGCTTGGTTCCAATTCTCTTCATGATAAATCATATTTTATCATAAATTGACTAAATAACTCAAAAGGCACAAGCTTACCTCGGCTGGAAATGGAAAACTAGTGCTAGGGCTCGAAATAGGGCTAGGCTCGGCTATAGGACTTGAGGCTTGGCTCAAGGTAGTATTTGCTGAACTTGGTGACTTCCAATGACTTATAAAAATCCAAGGAACATGTAACGCCCCGTTCGATTTATAGAATTTTCGGAATATTCTATTTATCGAATTCTATTTATGAGGTTATATTTATCGTATTGGTCGCGGCGTCGACTTAAATGTTATGTTGTAGTACTCGATCGTTTTATCTTAAAACGTTCGTCGTTCGGCGATTTCGGTATAATCGCGAAATTCGAATCTAAGCCGTTTGTTTATTAGAATTTTCCAGATTTTTTTTATATTAATTATTTATTCGCCTCGCTCTTATTTTAGTCATAATGCTCGACAAATTTTCGCTATTAAGTTTATTAGAATTAAATAGATGTCCTCGTCTATTTAATTTTCTTAATTAATTTATCTAATAAAAAAATTTAGATTTAAGAAGATGTCCTCGTCTTTTTATATTGTTTGATGTGCTTTCGTTATACTTAATCGTTCCAAGTGTTTAAATTGCTAAGAATTTGCATCTTGTGCCTATGTGAAATTTTATGTCTTAGTGTAATGTGTGCTTATTTATGTGTAAGTGCTTAAGTTATTTTTGCCTAAGTACACTAGTCCAAACTCCTTTTATTTAGTACCATTTCGGCCCAAATAAAAGTCACCAGTAGCTCCCATTTAATTTTCAGCCCAACATCAGTTGGCTATAATTTTCCCCAAGCAGCTGGCCCAACTCACAATTTCGATCAAAGTTTTCATTTATTTTTCTTGGCCCCATAAGCTCAATTCAGCCCAAATTCCAATCCAAGAAGCAGCAAGCCTAACGTTTCCCCAAAATTCTCGGTTTCTCTCCCTCTCCGATCTCTCTCTCTCCACAATTCTGCAGCAACGACGGGAGAAGTTCTCCCCGATTCTTTCAAGCAGTTGCAACAGATTTAGCCCCCCACCTTTAAAATTGATCGAAGCCCTCATCCCCTCGCCTCATATCCTCTCGATTGAGCAGCAATCGTCTGTCCGAAATTTCTTTCGGCCGGAAGACAACCGGCGACGCGAGGTAGGTGAACCGAGAACGAGCAACAGCGGCGGATCTATTCCCAACGTCGAGCCGCGATCCAACCTCCAACCTCTAGCCCGACTGAGCCTCGATCCCTTCAAACTCTGACCTCCGGCCATCCGACGGCAAGAGCACCAAGCCTCAGCGACGGGATTTCCGGCGAGAGCAGCACCAGTCCGGCGAGTACCAGGCGTCAGAGATAGTGCAATCGAAAGCGGGAAAACGCCGGCGAAGAGCTTCAGTTCCCGACGGATGAAGAGACCAAGCGCGACTGTCGAAGGCTGGCCCTTAGCGAAGATTCGAGCAGCCCTGCCAGCGAACGAGTGCACTCAGTCGTTCGCCGTAGCAGTGTAGACCCCGAGCTTTTTCCGGCAACGAGCAGCAGCCGCTCGAGGCTCTTATTGCGCAGCCATCAATTTCAATTCCGAGCAGCAGCAGCCTCGATTGTAATATACGACAAGCAGCGGGGACTTTTCCGACGAACAACAGGCCTTTCGGGCCCCGGGCGAGAAGAAAAGCACGTCGATCCTTTGCCGAGAGCCCCGAACAGCCTGTTCTCCACGTCCGGTTACCGGGTAACAGCCCGGGACTTGTCGACCGTCTCCAGGNTTATTTTCTTAAGTCTCGAGATAGGTATTAATTGTTGAGACTTATGCCTTTTGCTTTGGCTGAGTATATGAGGTGGTTGTCCTGTTTGTTTGTGACCAGGAATATTTGATTATGTGCTTGATAAGATGTGCTATGGTTGTGCCCAGTTGGCCGTGTACGTGCCCTGTGATTGTGGAATGAGTCATGTATTATGATTGTGCCTCAATTTGGTGTTAAATTGTTCATGAGAAAGAGAAAGGGAATGAGCTGCTTGTAGTACATTTTAGTTAACTTTGTTTTATATGCCTTGCTGAACTTTATTTGTTAGATTAGTATGCTTTCGAGGCCTTGTTTTTATCCATGTTGTGAGCTGGTTGTTGAACCTTTAATGCTGCATTTTACATGCTGAAAATGTGAGAATCATAGTCTTTATGTGCTGCGTTTGGGGTTCTCTCCCTTGATTATATTTTGGTTGATGAGGCTGTTGTACAGGGGGAATTTGTAGAGTTAAAATATGTTGATTCATGCTGAATTCCTCTTAAATTCCTGTTTTCCTAATGCTAAGCTTAATTGGTTAAACTTAAGAGAAAAAGAAGATGGCGTAAGGTTAATGTGTTGAGAATTTGGTTTAAATTGTTGCTGTTTGTGGCTGAGTGGTTGTGATATACATCTTGATCCTTATGTGTCTATTCCATGCTGAATTTAGGTGTTTTATATGCTTTTCAAATCAGTTATAAAGATTATTATGACATGCTTAATTTTAGAGAAGGCTATACCTTGTTGTTTGAGTGCTTTATTTGATTTGCCTATATGCGGTGACTTCTTGTGTGTTATGTTACTGATATTATGTGTATATTTTGAGTTGAAGTTGTTATTATGCTGTCGCCCAAGTATTAGTTAAGTTGAGAGTTGTGGCTTAAGTGAAAAGAGAAGTCTATGTCATATATTTTGTATGCTTTAATTGAATGCTTATGTGTTGTACCTCATGTGTATTATAAGTTCGACTTATTGTTTTGGGCTTTGATTTAATATGTTCGGTATTGAGCCTTTTGATGCGGTTTAGTAGTTAAAGTGTGCTTTACCTGCTTGTGTGGTCTAATCAACCCAATCAAAACCCTTAATAATAATAATTTAATCCTTAATTTTTAGGTTTGAGGAGTCGAGCCCTCGACCTACGTTCTTCAGCTTGTGTGTTGTTGCCTACTCGATTTCCAGGTGGGTTTTATTTAAAAATTTTCTATGCTGTAAATATTATTACTGTTTTAAATTTGGTATGATCAAAGTATGCATGTGGAACATGTAGCCTTCGATGTGAGCTGTACCGGCCGTCGAACGGTTATCCCCGTAACTATAGAACTAGTCTCCATTTTGAGCCGTAAGTCCTGGGTTAAAGGTCCCTGTGCTGGACACATTTTGAGCCGTAAGTCCTGGGTTAAAGGTCCCTGTGCTGGACACATTTTGAGCCGTAAGTCCTGGGTTAAAGGTCCCTGTGCTGGACACATATTGAGCCGTAAGACCTGGGTTAAAGGTCCCTGTGCTGGACAACCCCGTTGGTAAGACCAAGGTGAGGCCTTGGCCGGCGGGATACTCCTACTGGCCGGACACTCGTTGTAAGGCCTTAGATAAGGCGTTCGGTATATAGTTCGGCAGTAGTCTATTGCTATAGGTGTGCACATGAGTCTATTATTGATATGATTGATAGGAGATTGGGATAATTAATTTATTCGTATACATGCTGAGACCATACCTTATTGATTATTGATTACTGTTTCATTATTGTGAATAATGTTTACTGCATAATGGTGAGCACTACTTTTTCCAACTGTGCTCATCCCCACCCGAAATTCACGTTTCAGGTTAAGCGAGGCAGGTACGACGGCGGAGTAGAGCGAGTGGTAGTCGGTCTATGAGACCGGTTAATAATTGATTTTGCTTCCGCTATTTTTATTATTATTTACGATTTACGCATTTTCGAACTTGAGAATTTATGAAGTATGGAGATACTGTTGGGGAGATGCCCCGTTGACATTGACATGTCTTAAAAACTTGAATTTGATTTTGGGAACCCGTTTTGGGTAAAATGTTGATTTATGGATTTATGGATTTATGGATCTCGGTTTTGGAGTTAAATGATTGATGTTATGTCGTTTGAAAAATAAATGAGTAACGCCTTATATATGTTTGAAATAAATTATCAAAAATTTATTTTGATTTTCGACAAATAAAAAGTGGGGCGTTACAGTTTGGTATCAGAGCCAGTCTGCGTTTCTGTAGACTGGTATGTGTGAATTATGTGAATTATTTGCATAATATGTTTATGACCACTAGCTTCCGTCGTGCCGCGCCAACTCAGGTATGAATGAGTGAATTTGGAATTGCTTATGTGCAATGTTATGATATTATGAGATGTAAACTGGGGCTTAGGAATTTATCCTCCTACTTTTAAACGTTCTGGAACTCTAGATGAGTGGCGAAACTTAGTTGCATGAACTTGAACTCTAGCGATATAGAGTTAAGTTTTAACTTGAGGTTTTGTTTGTTTAGAAATTTGATATGGCGTTATCGAGCTGAGTTCTGTATATAACAGTCCTCTCGATGTATTTTGGTGTCTTCGGAAGAGGACCATTCGTGAGCCATCTCGAAAGGAGAAGGCTTGAACGAAGGAAGCAGACAACCGAAGAAGTCCCAAGTGTGGGATATTAGGAGGTCTGTAACCATGGTTATTAAGACCATCATATGTGTGTTTGACCCCCAGTCGAGTGCGAACTGGAGTAGAGTCTTGGCGTCTTGTGCATACTTAATGTCCGACCCCGAGGAGTGTTGGGGAAACTTAAAGCGTAACACTGTCGCGAATCTCGAGAGTGGCTAAGCCTCGAGAAAAACGATAGTGACCTATTCTTTTGCGAAAATTCTCAAACGGAGGAATCCGACCTTGTTCTTAAGATGGATAGGCCGATCCGACACCGCGCAAATAGTTTATGCCGCAATTTTGAGTGGCATTTATGTCTTGAAAGAGGCATCGAAAATTTTTTTTCCGTATTTTGCGCCACGAGCGATTTCCTAGCGACAGCAAGACTTACCAGGAGCAACTTGAACCGGTGATGAAAACAGTAAATCGTGGACTCGTGAAGGCGAAGCAGTCGTGCTTCCTTTCTTAAATTCTTGTCTTCTTGTATACTCTTGCAAACCTTTTTCCCATTCACATGGCAAACAATTTTGAAGTGTGATTGAGGTTTCTTTTTGTTATCCAAATTTCATATTTTGAGGATTTCGTTTGATTTTTCCCTACTCTTGATTCGCTGTGTAAACTATTTTAAGCTTCCCAACTTTAAAACTCGCTTATCTTGAAGTTTAGCTAATTCTGGTTTATCCTATGTTCGGAGTTGACTTTGTTTTGAAAAAAAAAAAAAACCTGATTTCAAGTGAGAATAAGCATCTCTTTGCTTCTGCTTATCCTTATTTTCTTGCGAAGTATGAGAATTCCGTTCGAATGCCATCGTTAAAATATCACGAAGATTCGAGGGCAAAATTTTTCTATCGTCACTTTTGTGAGTAACCTAACCTCGAGGGGGACACTAATTATTCACACTTGGCATCGAGATAAACGCACAGGAACTGAAGCCAGCACAATTCGGTTCGATGAGAAAGATAGAGTGTTTTTCCACCTTAAGTATTATGCAGGAATCTTTTAAGGAGGATAGTCGAGTCTGGAGCAAGCACATCGCGCAGTGCAGAACCGTCCTTATTCTAAATCTTGTTCATCGTAAAAATTTTTGTTATTTTCCTCCTTTCGGAATCCCGGAAGGAACTTCGCGTTCAAATTCTAAAATGTGAAGATTGGGGAGTGAGTTGCGCTCGTTTGGGGCTGCTGACACGATTATCTACCCGATGTAGAGCTGACGTGTCGGCCGACGCTGTTAGTCAGAAGAGCCGAGGCGAGCTATCTATCTAATGGCGCGGCCGAAGCTGCTGACTTAGAGAGAATCGCCATGAGAGTTCTTTGGAGATTTCACTTATCGTTAGATCTGTGGCGTATTGCGTTTTGTTGGTGGACTTGGAACTCGAACTTGCACCTTGCTATTTTTGAGACTTTTTGAAACTTTTGAAATTGAGAAACACCTGAAATATATGTTGTTTTGTTGACCCTAAAATTTTTGAAATTTGGTAAAACCATTCCTTTTTGGTAGCCTTGAATTGTAACTTCTTGTGAGAACCTGGACCAAACACCGACCCGGACTGGGTGTAGCCACGCGAAGTGGTGGCCGAGCACGCACGACCGTGCTGAGAGACGGGAGGCATGCGCGTGGCCGACCGTTGACTCGCATGCGAACTGCAGCCGCCATCACCGAACGCACAAACTCCACAGGCCAGCGTGTGTGGCCAAGCCTCGACCTTACGGATGGTCTCCGAGTAGGTGAGTACGCACGCGCCCTAGCGCCCCGCTTATGCAGCGCCAGCGAGCGTGCCGCCTCTTGGGTGACAGTACACTAACCCCGATCCTTCGATTCATTTCTTTGATCGACCAGTTTTGCTGAGATACTTATGTTACCCCGAACTTTGAACCGAGAGCTCCAAGTTTAACTAAAATGTGTATAAATCCTTAATCGATGGTTTCTGATTAAGGAGAGTAGTCGATGAGTCCCTATGCTTTACTTGAGAGCTTCTCGAGTCAGCAAATTGGGAATGTCGTGTTCCTTTGGGTCAAGCCTTATGTTTGTGCATAAGGGTTGCGTTTGACTCATGGAGTCGATATCATGAGAGTGTGAGCTTGATGGTGTCATGCTTTATGTATGTGGTACCGTTTCGCTGCCTCTGATAGAGACGCATGGTCCGTGATGAAATCGTGAGCAAGTTATCAGTGTGGCTCGGTCACGAGACTGGAACTTGGCGTCACGTGACCACCTTAATGGTGGGGTAGTCGGAGTACGCTGACAATACACCGAACGACCTGCTGAGGTCTTGTGTTCTGTTAGGTACCAAGCAAGTCGGTAATACTCATGAGTATAGGCTAAACCGAACTGGGTCCCTTGCAAGAGGATGTACGCCTGAGCTCGGGCAGGACTGATCACCCTCCCAAGCAAATAGGTAAACATATGAGCATAGGACGAGTCGGATTGGTTACTGTATGTGAGTACAAGCCTTTCGAGTATAAGACGATAGGACTCATGGGAACGGAATCGGTTTCCGGAGAGTGATGCCCGGACCTCGTGATTGGAAATTCCCGTTTGAGTCTGTCGTTATCTGAGATGTATGTTCTTTCGCATTTCCGAGGACGAAAATGTTTTAAGGAGGATAGATTGTAGCGCCCCGTTCGATTTATAGAATTTTCAGAATATTCTATTTATCGAATTCTATTTATGAGGTTATATTTATCGTATTGGTCGCGGCGTCGACTTAAATGTTATGTTGTAGTACTCGATCGTTTTATTTTAAAACGTTCGTCGTTCGGCGATTTCGGTATAATCGCGAAATTCGAATCTAAGCCGTTCGTTTATTAGAATTTTCCAGATTTTTTTTATATTAATTATTTATTCGCCTCGCTCTTATTTTAGTCGTAATGCTCGACAAATTTTCGCTATAAGTTTATTAGAATTAAATAGATGTCCTCGTCTATTTAATTTTCTTAATTAATTTATCTAATAAAAAAATTTAGATTTAAGAAGATGTCCTCGTCTTTTTAAATTGTTTGATGTGCTTTCGTTATACTTAATCGTTCCAAGTGTTTAAATTGCTAAGAATTTGCATCTTGTGCCTATGTGAAATTTTATGTCTTAATGTAATGTGTGCTTATTTATGTGTAAGTGCTTAAGTTATTTTTGCCTAAGTACACTAGTCCAAACTCCTTTTATTTAGTACCATTTCGGCCCAAATAAAAGTCACCAGTAGCTCCCATTTAATTTTCAGCCCAACATCAGTTGGCTATATTTTTCCCCAAGCAGCTGGCCCAACTCACAATTTCGATCAAAGTTTTTATTTATTTTTCTTGGCCCCATAAGCTCAATTCAGCCCAAATTCCAATCCAAGAAGCAGCAAGCCTAACGTTTCCCCAAAATTCTCGGTTTCTCTCCCTCTCCGATCTCTCTCTCTCCACAATTCTGCAGCAACGACGGGAGGAGTTCTCCCCGATTCTTTCGAGCAGTTGCAACAGATTTAGCCCCCCACCTTTAAAATTGATCGAAGCCCTCATCCCCTCGCCTCATATCCTCTCGATTGAGCAGCAATCGTCTGTCCGAAATTTCTTTCGGCCGGAAGACAACCGGCGACGCGAGGTAGGTGAACCGAGAATGAGCAACAGCGGCGGATCTATTCCCGACGTCGAGCCGCGATCCAACCTCCAACCTCTAGCCCGACTGAGCCTCGATCCCTTCAAACTCTGACCTCCGGCCATCCGACGGCAAGAGCACCAAGCCTCAGCGACGGGATTTCCGGCGAGAGCAGCACCAGTCCGGCGAGTACCAGGCGTCAGAGATAGTGCAATCGAAAGTGGGAAAACGCCGGCGAAGAGCTTCAGTTCCCGACGGATGAAGAGACCAAGCGCGACTGTCGAAGGTTGACCCTTAGCGACGATTCGAGCAGCCCTGCCAGCGAACGAGTGCACCCAGTCGTTCGCCGTAGCAGTGTAGACCCCGAGCTTTTTCCGGCAACGAGCAGCAGCCGCTCGAGGCTCTTATTGCGCAGCCATCAATTTCAATTCCGAGCAGCAGCAGCCTCGATTGTAATATACGACAAGCAGCGGGGACTTTTCCGACGAACAACAGGNTGCTTTGGCTGAGTATATGAGGTGGTTGTCCTGTTTGTTTGTGACCAGAAATATTTGATTATGTGCTTGATAAGATGTGCTATGGTTGTGCCCAGTTGGCCGTGTACGTGCCCTGTGATTGTGGAATGAGTCATGTATTATGATTGTGCCTCAATTTGGTGTTAAATTGTTCATGAGAAAGAGAAAGGGAATGAGCTGCTTGTAGTACATTTTAGTTAACTTTGTATTATATGCCTTGCTGAACTTTATTTGTTAGATTAGTATGCTTTCGAGGCCTTGTTTTTATCCATGTTGTGAGCTGGTTGTTGAACCTTTGATGCTGCATTTTACATGCTGAAAATGTGAGAATCATAGTCTTTATGTGCTGCGTTTGGGGTTCTTTCCCTTGATTATATTTTGGTTGATGAGGCTGTTGTACAGGGCGAATTTGTAGAGTTAAAATATGTTGATTCATGCTGAATTCCTGCTTAAATTCCTGTTTTCCTAATGCCATGCTTAAGTGGTTAAACTTAAGAGAAAAAGAAGATGGCGTAAGGTTAATGTGTTGAGAGTTTGGTTTAAATTGTTGCTGTTTGTGGCTGAGTGGTATGTGATATACATCTTGATCCTTATGTGTCTATTCCATGCTGAATTTAGGTGTTTTATATGCTTTTCAAATCAGTTTTAAAGATTATTATGACATGCTTAATTTTAGAGAAGGCTATACCTTGTTGTTTGAGTGCTTTATTTGATTTGCCTATATGCGGTGACTTCTTGTGTGTTATGTTACTGATATTATGTGTATATTTTGAGTTGAAGTTGTTATTATGCTGTCGCCCAAGTATTAGTTAAGTTGAGAGTTGTGGCTTAAGTGAAAAGAGAAGGCTATGTCATATATTTTGTATGCTTTAATTGAATGCTTATGTGTTGTACCTCATGTGTATTATAAGTTCGAATTATTGTTTTGGGCTTTGATTTATTATGTTCGGTATTGAGCCTTTTGATGCGGTTTAGTAGTTAAAGTGTGCTTTACCTGCTTGTGTGGTCTAATCAACCCAATCAAAAACCTTAATAATAATAATTTAATCCTTAATTTTTAGGTTTGAGGAGTCGAGCCCTCGACCTACGTTCTTCAGCTTGTGTGTTGTTGCCTACTCGATTTCCAGGTGGGTTTTATTTAAAAATTTTCTATGCTGTAAATATTATTACTGTTTTAAATTTGGTATGATCAAAGTATGCATGTGGAACATGTAGCCTTCGATGTGAGCTGTACCGGCCGTCGAACGGTTATCCCCGTAACTATAGAACGTACACGTTGGGTAGTCTCCATTTTGAGCCGTAAGTCCTGGGTTAAAGGTCCCTGTGCTGGACACATTTTGAGCCGTAAGTCCTGGGTTAAAGGTCCCTGTGCTGGACACATTTTGAGCCGTAAGTCCTGAGTTAAAGGTCCCTGTGTTGGACACATTTTGGGCCGTAAGTCCTGGGTTAAAGGTCCCTGTGCTGGACACATTTTGAGCCGTAAGTTCTGGGTTAAAGGTCCCTGTGCTGGACACATTATGAGCCGTAAGTCCTGGGTTAAAGGTCCCTGTGTTGGACACATATTGAGCCGTAAGACCTGGGTTAAAGGTCCATGTGCTGGACAACCCCGTTGGTAAGACCAAGGTGAGGCCTTGGCCGGCGGGATACTCCTACTGGCCGGACACTCGTTGTAAGGCCTTAGATAAGGCGTTCGGTATATAGTTCGGCAGTAGTCTATTGCTATAGGTGTGCACATGAGTCTATTATTGATATGATGTATAGGAGATTGGGATAATTAATTTATTCGTATACATGCTGAGACCATACCTTATTGATTATTGATTACTGTTTCATTATTGTGAATAATGTTTACTGCATAGTGGTGAGCACTACTTTTTTCAACTGTGCTCATCCCCACCTGAAATTCACGTTTCAGGTTAAGCGAGGCAGATACGACGGCGGAGTAGAGCAAGTGGTAGTCGGACTATGAGACCGGTTAATAATTGATTTTGCTTCCGCTATTTTTATTATTATTTACGATTTACGCATTTTCGAACTTGGGAATTTATGAAGTATGGAGATACTGTTGGGGAGATGCCCCGTTGACATTGACATGTCTTAAAAACTTGAGTTTGATTTTGGGAACCCGTTTTGGGTAAAATGTTGATTTATGGATTTATGGATTTATGGATCCCGGTTTGGGAGTTAAATGATTGATGTTATGTCGTTTGAAAAATAAATGAGTAACGCCTTATATATGTTTGAAATAAATTATCAAAAATTTATTTTGATTTTCGACAAATAAAAAGTGGGGCGTTACAGAACACTTGGAAGTCGATAAGCCTCAGAAGAAATGGCTTGGAACACGAGATGGCCGCAGCTTCCTCTTCCCCAGATCCTCACGCGCGCGCGGGTGCACAAGCAAGAGTCTCTCGAATTTTTCTTGATTCCTCACTAAGTGTTCGAGTAATATGGTGTCTAAGAGCTTCAAATGGACTGAAGAAGGCTGCTTATTAAGTGGTTTGGGCGGAGCTTGCTATGCAAGAGGGTGGGGGACAAAAATGGGTGCATCTCTTCACTCCATGCGCAGGAAATTTGGAGCCAAGGTCTTGGCCATGCTATGCACGATTTTTTGGAGGGATAAATAGTGGGATGGCAGAGCATCTTGACTGAAAAAACAGGTCTGGTGGTCAGGCATGGCTCAAGACTAGGGGACAAAGATTCCACTATGGAATAAAATAATACTATGCACATGCACCCACTTTGCATTCATGCTAAATTGATTTCCTTAAACATTTCTTAGGGCCATCTTAGCGTTAATTAATCCTTATTAAGTTAGTTTTCATCCCCCAAATTTGGGCTCGAGACAATTGGGCCGGAGGTAGGTGATTTGGGCCTTGAAAGCTGGACCTGTCGCGAGGCCTGCTGGGCGCGTGGTCAGGGCCTGCTGCACGGGGACCATGGGCTCGGCGCGTGAATGACTCTTGGACCGATTTTTGAGGCTTTTGTTGTGTCCAAATGACTTAGAACAATATACCAAGTGTTGGTTAGGACTTAGGCTTGGTCTCGGATCTCGACCCGGGGCCTTGGGTGGGGTCGCGGCTCGAGTGGCTTGGTTAACTTCTCAGTGTTTTGAACGAGGTCTAGGACTTGAATTTGCACTTCATATTACTTAGAAAAATTCTAAGTATTATGCTATTAAGACTCGGCATGTCCTAAGGCTCGATGACTAGGGTTCAGAACGAACGAAACTTAATTCGGATAAAATATCCGAATACTTAAAATGAACTTAATATATTTTGAGCACTTAGCATATACTTAATAAATCTTGAATTCCTTAAATTACGAATTTTCACTTAAAAGTCGAGCAGTGAAAAATCGTCTTAATAATATAATAATAGTCGGGGCGTTACACGAATCCTGCCTGGAAGGTAAGATGGCCAAGAGGCCGTTTACGGCAAAGGGTTATAGGAGCCAAGAAGTGCTAGGATTGATTCATTCTGATTTGTGTGGTCCTATGTCGATCCAGGATAGAGGAGGTTTCGAGTACTATGTGTCTTTCATAGATGATTACTCGAGATTTGGGTACGTTTATCTGTTGCACCGCAAGTCCGAATGCTTTGAGAAATTCAACAAGTATCGGGCAGTTGTGGAGAAGCTTCATGGTAAATGTATCAAGTCACTTCGTTCTGATCGAGGTGGCGAATACCTCTTTGGAGACTTCAGGACATACTTATCGGAAGCTGGGATTGAATCACAACTGACTGCATCCAGCACGCCCCAGCAAAACGGGGTTGCAGAGCGAAGAAATAGGACTCTTATGGAGATGGTTAGGTCTATGATGAGTTATTCGAGGTTACCAGATTCGTTCTGGGGTTTGGCATTAGAAACAGCATCGTATATTCTGAACATGGTTCCATCGAAGTCAATTGACACTACCCCTTATGAGATGTGGAAAGGGCGCAAGCCCAGTTTCTCACAGTTTCGAGTTTGGGGTAGTCCTGCACACGTGTTAGTGCAGGAACCTGGCAAGTTGGAGAAACGTTCGGAAGCACGAGTTTTCGTAGGCTATCCCAAGGGAACGAAAGGTGGATTATTTTATAGTCCTGAGGATCAGAAGGTGATCATTTCGACGAACACTAGATTCTTGGAAGAAGACTATATTATGAATCATAAGCCCGCGAGTATACTAGTCTTAGAGGAGTTAAGGGGTGAAATCGATGGCCCCACCGAGTGCGCAAGTAGATACATCACATAATATTGCAACACGGCACACTGAGAGTGTACCAGTGCAGACAGTGCCTCGTCGCAGTAGGAGGGTTTCTCATTTACCCGACCAATGGATAGGTCTTGGAGAGTCATCGGACTCAGTTCCAGGAGGCCTAGAATCGGACCCAAGAACTTACAATGAGGCACTCCAAGATAAAGATGCAGATTCATGGAATGTTGCAATGAAAGCTGAAATGGGGTCAATGGACTCCAATCAGGTCTGGGATCTTGTAGAACCACCTGATGGGCTACGACCCATTGGATGTAAGTGGATCTATAAGAGAAAGAGAGGATCGGATGGGAAGGTACAAACCTTTAAAGCTAGGCTTGTTGCGAAAGGTTATACTCAGATCGAGGGTATTGATTATGATAAAACCTTTTCGCCAGTAGCTATGCTTAAGTCCATTCGGATTCTCTTGGCTGTAGCCGCTCATATGGACTATGAGGTCTGGCAGATGGATGTCAAGACAGCTTTCCTTAATGGGAACCTACAGGAAGATATCTATATGCAGCAACCAGAGGGATTCATTGCTGAAGGTTGTGAGCATCTAGTGTGTAAGCTTAATCGGTCTATTTATGGACTGAAGCAAGCTTCGAGATCTTGGAACATCTGTTTTGATGAGGTGATCCAGTCGTACGGGTTCACTCAATGTCCGAATGAGCACTGTGTTTACAAGAAAATCAGTGGGAGCATGGTGGTTTTTCATGTGCTTTACGTAGATGACATACTGCTTATTGGAAACAGTAAGAAGGAGTTGTCAGACGTAAAGGTGTGGTTGTCTAAGAAGTTTGATATGAAGGACTTAGGTGAAACAAGACACATTCTTGGTATTAGGCTCATTAGAGACCGTAAGAAGAGAATGTTGTGCTTATCCCAGTCTTCGTACATAGATACTGTCTTGGCCAGATTCAGCATGCAGAATTCCAAGAAAGGTATGTTACCTTTCAGACATGGAATACCTCTATCTAAGGAGATGTCTCCTAAGACGTCTAAGGAGATAGAAGAGATGAAGACAGTTCCTTATGCTTCGGCACTAGGAAGTCTCATGTATGCAATGCTGTGCACTAGGCTAGATATTAGCTACGCCGTTGGCATGGTAGCTAGATATCAAAGTAATCCGGGACAGGAACTTTGTCTGCGGTGAAGCATATACTCAAGTGCCTAAGAAGGACTAAGGAGTACATGTTAGTTTACCGTGCAAGCAGCTTATTACCTCTGGGTTACAGTGATTCTGATTTCCAGTCAGATAGGGATGAAAGTAAGTCAACCTCAGGTTATGTGTTTATCTTGGGAAGTGGAGCCATTTCATGGAGGAGTGCTAAGCAGAAATGCGTGGCAGACTCCACCATGGAAGCTGAGTACATAGCAGCCTCAGAGGCAGCGAAAGAGGCAGTTTGGCTCAGGAGCTTCTTAGTGGACTTAGAGGTTATACCGAGTTTGCCACGTGGTATCACCGTGTAATGTGATAACAGTGGAGCAGTAGTGAACTCAAAAGAACCTCGAGCCCACAGGGCAAGCAAACACATAGAGCGCAAATACCATCTGATTCGGGATATCGTTGGTAGAGGAGATGTTGATGTTGTCAAGATTGCGTCAGAGGACAACTTAGCTGATCCTTTCACGAAGAGTTTGTCGGAGAAGGTCTTCGTCAAACACGTGGAAGGAATGGGAGTCATGAGCATGACAATATGATCGACATAGGTCTTTTAGAATAACGGATTGATAGGACTATACTGTAAAAACGAAAGCTTTAAGTATAAGTGGGAGATTGTTAGTGTTATATACTGAAAGCTTGACTTTGCATGTTATTACACATTTACCCTTTATGAATGAGAATCATGTTAGATTAAACAAGTTCTACGTTCTGTTGTTCTGCACTTAGATAGGATGGATCGTCATCGGGCGAACCGAAGATCACTCTATCAGTCACTTGCGAACAAAAATAGTTGTTCACAACCTAGATGGACATGAACACCCCATCCGAACGGTTGTAGTGTCAAACAGGTTTATCTTTGAATGAAGAGAGCTCGAACATGGTAGTCGAGAAACAATAGACATGAGTTCAAATTTTCAAATTCGAGACTTCATGAAGAGATCGAGAAAATCCACCAAAGTAAGCAGATCGGAAGATAGCAAAGGAAAGTCGACATTGCAAAATGAGGAGCATATAAATTCTCTCTAGGAATCAAAGTTCGACCCCAGTGGCGGGTCTCTCAGTTTTCGACCTCAGTGGGCGTTCAGCTTTCGGTGTTCGACCCCAGTGGCGGGTCTCTCGGTATTCGACCCCAGTGGAGGGTCACTCGGTTTTCGACCTCATTGGTCGTTCAACTTTCGATGTTCGACCCCAACGGCGGGTCTCTAGGTATTCGACCCCAGTGGCGGGTCACTCAGTTTTCGACCTCATTGGTCATTCAGCTTTCGGTGTTCGACCCTAACGGCGGGTCTCTCGGTATTCGACCCCAGTGGCGGGTCACTCGATTTTCGACCCAAGTGGTCGTTTAGCTTTCGATGTTCGACCCCAGCGGCGGATCTCTCAGTATTCGACCTCAGAGGCAGGTCTTTCAGTATTTGACCTCAGCGGCGGGTCTTTCGGTTTTTGACCTTAGTGGTCATTCGGTGTTCATTTGGGGTCCCGATGCTCATTTGGAGGTTTGGTGACTATTTGATGATTGATGATTTATTCAAATTATAACCTCAGTGGCAAGTTGACGGAAACAGCCCGAAGAGGAATTTTACTCTTGGATCGAGCATGCTTACTCGACCAGAGTGGGGGGACTAGATGATATAGGATATTATACTAGATCGGGCTTAATGGATAAAAAGGAAATATATTGAAGAAATAAGCCTACACATGGCTAGGACACGTGTCATGATGCTATTGGACAAGCCCAACTTGGGCCATAAGGTACACTCCCCCTATAAAAGGGAGAAAAGGTATCACATTCTCTCACTCTCTCTGCATTCATAATTATAATCTTGGGATTTGGAGTCTTGGAGTGATTCTGACTTGAGCGTCGGAGGCCCGACGACCGGACCCCTCCCGGCGTTGGGTTCTTGCAGGTCCGGTGGCCGTTTGAGTTGAAGGAGACCAGGTGAAATCTTATTCACTTCAAGATCGTTGTGAAAGATATTGGAGTTTTACTTAGTTGTTAGTGTCGGGTTCTGTAAAGAACATCGTGTATCGTGCTTTGAATCGATTGCGAATTTAAGAAATGAATCCTACGTGAAGCGAAAACTAACAATCGAATTCAAAACGTACCGTTTAAAAATTTTGCCAACTTTGTACAGACATACATGGCCTACGGGGCTGGATGAACATTTCTGAGATGATCTTCTCACTTCGTAGTCCTCCTCCACTTTGGCCGTGCGTCTTACGGTTTTCGAGTCATGTCTCGCATCACCTGGGCATCGCGCCACTGTTGCTAGCCAATTTGCGTTTACTAGGGTCTGCTTGAGATGATCTAAGCTCGTCATTGCTCTTTCGGTGCACGCTGGTTCGGGCTCATGTGCGCTGATGCTCACCTGGGCAGCTTCAGGTGCTGGCAGGTTGTTGGGCGTGTGCGTCGCTTAGTTTAGGACACTGGGTGCCGAACATCGTGCGGTCTGGGACATTTACCGCTGAGTGTCGTCAGGCTGCCTGCGGGTCACCTGCGTCTGTGGCTGTTGGCTGCTGGGTGCGGCTGGCCACTATGGTACGCTGTTTGCTGCTGTCAGTGATTCTGCCGCGTGCGGTGTTTGGCCCCGCCAAGTTTGGTGGTCATCAGATGTGCCGCAAGGACATATATATTTGTCTGAACACGAACGTACTACGTTAGGAACTTTTATTGTATGATCGATCACCTGCTCCGATTCATTGTGGGTGACAACTTATTGGATCTCCTAAAGCCTCAAAAATTTTCTCTCATTTGACCTCACGTTTTATCTGAATTTTCTAAGAAGAGATTTCTGATCTCTCACATGTTTATGCGTGTATCTCATATTTTTAGAGGCTAAGGGACTTAGGGTATTTATAGGCTACAACAGGGACCCTGAATAGGAGCTAAATATGAGTACCCTAAGTGTAGGCTTAACTGTGGGCGAAGCTCACTCTGGTCATACTTGAATAATATTTAATACCACTACAAAATATTATTGAACTCACCATTTAGCCCCCGAATTACAAATAATTCGTCTTCCGACTAATTGCTTGATTTACCTCTCCATGTTTAAGATCTAACACCCTTTGATTAACTTAATTACTGATAATACAACTAATTAACTTCTTAATCTAAAATTAGTACCTGTCAATTATTTATTATTATGTCGAAAATTAATCCGCCGGCCGGACTTGACATAATAATCCTTCTTCATTTTGGAGACGTCATCAACCCAGCTGATCGGGGCAGGATGACCATAAATAATTTCAACAACAGTTATATGGACAACATCACTTACCCAAAATACGGAGTCTGTCGACCTAACATAATAGGTCTCACCCTTGGTAAATCATAAGGTATCGAATACATATGCCCGTTTATTGTCTTACACGTCAAGAGAACACAACAATTACTGAGGTCTAGATTATTTACTTAGCCAGTGTAAAATTATTTTATCCTCCATAGGTCCGTCCAATACATCAAAGATGTACTAGTGTAATTCATTAGCTAAAGACCAACTAATTCGAAATCACACTTCAGTCTTTCACGACAGTTACTTCAATTTCGTCTAAGCTGTAACAAATATGATTTTTCTATTTGACAGATCAAACCATATTATCTACAATGTAAAATAAAAGAACTATGTTCGCATTAATAAATAAACTACGAATATACACTTGACCCTCATTTCAATTGGGATTTGAAGCAATACAAAGTCGAGCTTCTGCGGTATACTCCAACAGTTAAAGATCATGAATTCAATATTCTTCACGTTTTATGTAAATTACAATCTTTGATTTACAGAGGGTTTGAGTTAATATTATTTTTAATCAATATTCATTTTGAAAGAACATTGAAGAGACACCTCCACAAAAAAAAGCATCTCCACATACTTCATTTAAGTCAAACTCTAATATTTAATTCGCGAATAAGTAGTTCAACCGAAATCCATTTGACGTCTCTCCCTCTTTGAATTTTTTCCCCTAACTTCACCTAGCCCTAATCTTCCCATCCCTCGCCGCCGCCTCTCTTCCGCAGACGCTGGCCTGCTGCGGTGCTAGTTTCCACTGGGACCAGCAAGCCTGCTTTCCCGACGCTCCCTGTAGCCCGACACGGCCTTTCTCCATTCTCAGTGGCCATGGCGGTGCTCTGGCGGGGTCCAAGCATCAATTCGGTGGGCTTGTGGTGTTAGTGTTATATAGTGAAAGCTTGGTTTTGCATGTTATTACACTTTTTTCCTTTATGAATGAGAATCATGTTAGATTAAACAAGTTCTAAGTTCTGTTGTTTTGCACTTAGATAGAGTGGGTCGTCATCGGGCAAACCGAAGATCATTCTATCAGTCACTTGCGAAACAAGAATTGTGGTTCACAACCTAGATGGACATGAACACCCATCTGAATGGTTGTAGTGTCAACTGTACAGTTTGTCTTAACTGATTAGTTGTACTAGTACATTTATGTATTGAATAGGATCCCAGAGAGGAGAAGTTTGTTTTATACTGATCATCGTAAACGAACTAGGCCTCAGTTAGTTACTGTGTTCTTTTAACCCGTAAGATATTAAACAGGCATATGTATGTAGTACATATTACTTTGATTCACTTGGGTGAGGTTCAGTTCGCTGGATTAATATTCCTACTGTTTTGGGTAATATTACCATATATAGTATGCGCTATTAGGATATTTACGGTCACCATGTGCGTTTGTATGATGATGTCCCCGGAGTGAGTTCATGAAGGATTATTATGCTAAACCTTGCAGGTGGATTAAGTTCCGACATAATAAGAATGTGATGAACGAGCGCTAGCTTCGGTGAAATAATAATACATTAATTAATCCTTGATTGTCAGTAATCGAATTAATTAATGGACATTATATCTTAAACGTGGGGAGGTAAATCGAGTAATTATAATTGGAGTCTAAAATGTAATTTGGGCCAGGAAAAGGGAGTTCAATAATATTCATGTTGGTGACCCATAATATTATTTAATTAATTAGAGGAGCGGGTTGGCCCACAGTTAGTCTAATTAATTAAGGAGCCTTATTCCTAATCTCCTAAGGGTCCTTACTGTAGCTCTATATATACATCATTAAGCTCATGAGAAGAGAAAAAATTCTATTCCACACGTGAAAACCGTCTGCCCCTCTACTCTCTATCTCAGTTCTCATTCGAGCTTTGTCTTCTTCTTGTTGCTCCACTGGTACAAGTTGAAGAAGGATGTTTAAGTAATACAGTTGAAGATCCATAGTTAATTGAGACCCGATAATCTTTTACAGCAGACAGATCCGTGACTAGCCTGACCCGCCGAAACCGACCCGACGAGCCAGACCCGCCGCACTGGAGCCGACGAATGAATCTTCGTGACGCGACACGACCGGAAGCGGAAAGACGTGACCCGATCGGTGACCCCATGCGACATGACCGGATGATCCCCGCGACCTGATTGTGATCCCGACCTGCTCGTGTGTTAAAAAATTTGTTAAGCCGTAAGTTTTCTACGTCAAGTGTTTAGATCTGTTGTGCATAGGTTTACATTTGCTATTGAATTCGTGATTTGTACATAACGAGATCCTCACAGATCCCAATATGTGGTCGTCGTCGCTGTCTGCTGCCTTGGGGCGGATGGCGGTTAAGTTCGATGCTTTGTAAACCCCTGGGCCATCCCGTCTCCTGGTGCTGGGGTGAGTGGGTCCGATGGTTGGGGCTTTAGGCTGCCGACGGTGGTGGGTGTCCGTTTTGCTCTCGGGCGGTTTGGTGATGGGGTGTCTTCAGCTGGATCTCGTTGTGGGACTCGGGTTGTTTCTGGTAGGGGGAGGCTCGAGTTGTGTGTCCGGGTTTAGTTAGGCCTCATTTTGGATTGAGTCGTGTTTCTGTTTCCTGTCGAGACCGTTCGTGCGTGTGGCCCAGTTGTCTGCTGCGATTGTGGAGGGTCATGGGGAGCTTGTGTATTCTCCTTTGGATAGCTTTTTATTTTTCTTTTTTCGTCTTGCAGCGTGTGTTGTGGTATTTAAGCTAACTTGAGTAGTCCTCCTATTCTGACTAGCTAGTCGGTTGTAATTATGTGTTTTAGTTAATCAATCTGTTGTTTCGAAAAAAAAATAAGTGATTCGACCTGAATTAATATTAATCAAGTGTAAATTAAAGTCTTATTGAAATCCAAACTGAAAATACACATTTGGAACTCTATACTTAACCAATAAAAGTCGAGCTAGGTGGCACCTAGGCATTAGGCGGCATCTGAACACCCTGCTTTTTGTCTAGGCGACCCTTCTAGGCGCACGGGCAATTAGGCAGAGCCTAGGCGATCCAAACGGTTGCGAAGTTAGTCACGCCTAGACTGATTAAACGGTCTAGGCCGGTCCAAGCCGGTTAGGGGCACATATAATTTTTTTATGTGTTTTTTTAAATATAACAAAAATAAATTTTTATTGTTATACATAAGATGTACAATAATTATGAAATTAATAAAATAATAATTATAATAAATTTAATATAATAATTATAACTATATAATATTTTTAACAATCTATCTATTTAAACATACTAATTAGTATATATTAGGCAAAAATTCAATTTCGGTCCGCTAACTTGTCCATTGTCCAGTTTTGTTACACTATCTTTCCCCTCATAAAAAATGGTCCATTATGTTACAATTTTCATCAGTTTTAGTACATTAATCCCGAGGGCGGGATAACGAGATGACGTAGACACGGATTGGAACGACGTGGAAAGATATGATTTTGACGTGGAAGGATAACTACCTGATTTTCTTAATAAGGTTTTACGTGGCATTTTTACATGCCATCTCACTCAATATACTTTAATTTATTTATTTTTTATTTTCTGAAATCTTAATATAAAAATACATAAATTAGCTACTATAAAACAGAAACCCCGATTTCAAGATCCCTAAATTTCTTCGAAATGAAGCGACGACGGCCGAAATTGAAATCTGCGACTAAAATGCCACCAGGAGATCAAGATTTGGGAGTATTTTAGAAGATGGTTCTTGGAATCGATGTTCCTAACTGCAAGATTAAGTTGCGAGCAAATGAAAATGAACATCTACCCCCTTCTAGATACGATGATTTTTATTAGATATTTCAGAATTAAGGTTTAAGTTTTGTAAACTAGGGTTTACATGTAGTGAATTTTCAAAATTAGGGTTAATGTTTGTAAAATTAGGGTTTAAATGTAGTGAATTTCCAAAATTAGGGTTTAAGTTTGGTAAAATTTGGGGTTTTCATGTGGTCCTTGTGTTTGAGAATCTTGCACACATTTTTTCATTGTTTTTTGGTGGTCCTTATGTTGAAAAATGTTTATTTCTTTATTTGCAGGTGTGAATAGTAATTTCTTAGTCTTGGTGTTCATTATGGGGGCATTTTCGACATTCAGCCAAATGTCTCAGCATATATTGGAGGTGAGAGTGTTATTCTAGATTATGTTGACTTTGGACAAGTTGGTCTTGATGATTTTCTTAGTGTTGCACAGAGGGGAGGGATTAAAAAGCCCATGAGGTTTTATGTCAAAACAAGTGGTTGGTTTCTTTTATTAAATGATGACATGGATTTGTACAGGATTTGGGATGAGAGAGTGGGTACTTTTAGATACATTCACATTTATGTGGATGATATGAAAGGTCAAAGTGGAGGTTCAGTAATCAATGGTAAAGATAGAGGTGAAGTAGGAGATGGGCTGGTTGGTGAGAATGATTGTGGAGTAGGAGATGGAATGGTTGGTGAAAATGATGGTGGGGTTGTTCATGGTGAAGAAGATAATGGTGAAAATGAGAGTGAGTGTGGTGTAGAAAAAGTGAATGAGGGTGAGAATGGTGAGGTAGATTATGACAGTGATGAGTTGTATGATTCAGAGTATGACATAAATGAAGATAGAATAGATGATAGGTTATTTTCTGAATATGTTGATAGTGAAGCTGAGTGGGGAGGGGCTGAATCTGTGTTTGAAGCTGTGGACAATTATGTTGAAAATGAGGAAGATAGTGATGGTGAAGCAGATGTGGTTTACAGGTATAATTTAGATGGTAAGAACAACTCTGATGAGGAAGATGGTAATTGTGAACCAGAGTTTCCTTCTTTTAATCCAATGGAGTTGTATGATACCAGCTTTAAAGTGGGAATGGTGTTTACTTCAAAAAAAGAACTGAGGATAGTTATTCATTCTAGAGCAATAAAGTGCAAGAGAAATGTTCAAATCGTGAAGAATGATAAGCTGTATCTAAGGGCAAAATGTTGTGATAATTTGTGCCCTTGGAAAATTCATGCAGTCAAACTTGTAGGTGACGCAACATTTCAGATCATTAAGTACATTCATAGGCACACTTGTGCAGGCACAAGAAGAGTTAAAAATTTAAACTCTAGTTGGTTGGCAGGGAAGTATGCCACTGAATGGCAAGATGATCCTAACAGAAAGGTTACTAGTTTTAGAAAAACTGCAGCCAGAGGGCTTAGGGTGCATATCTCCAAACAACAAGCATATAGATGCAAGTTGAAAGCTATTGCAGATCAGAAGGGAGAACCCCATTTTCAGTATGCATTGTTGTGGGACTACTGTGAGTAAATAAGAAAAATAAATCCGGGGAGTACTGTAGTCATAGATACTAACCAGTGCAATGGTGACAACATATTTCAGAGGTTTTACATATGTCTAAATACACTAAAACAAGGATTTAAGGCTAGTTGTAGACCCTTGGTAAGTGTGGATGGTTGCCATTTAAAAGGGCCTAATAAAGGTATATTACTTACTGCTGTGGGCATTGATCCTAATACTGCTCTTTTTCCCTTGGCATATGCAGTTGTTAATATGGAGAATACAGATAACTGGGAATGGTTTTTGATATTTCTTAAGAATGATTTGGAAATCAAGAATCAGCATGAGTGGACATTTATGTCTGATAAACAGAAAGGCTTAATACAAGCATTCCAGAAGATTTTTACCTAACTGTGATCATCGATTTGTGTTAGACATTTGCTTGGGAATTTCAGAAAAGCAGGGTTCAGAGGATTAGCATTGAAAAATGCTGTGTGGAGGTGTGGCAGAGCCACAACAATAAATGATTTCAGCAGGAAAATGCAATATCTGAAGGATTTGGATGGGGAAGCTTGCAAGTGGTCGGCTGGTAAACCACCCACTGAATGGAGTAGGTCTCACTTTAGTGAATTTCCAAGGTGTGATATCCTACTCAATAATGGATGTGAGACCTCAACTGTAACATTCTTGAGGCCAGGGAGGAACCAATTCTGAGTTTGTTGGAATGGATCATGAAGTAATTAATGAAAAGAATGCAAGAAAATAGGGACAAAGCTGCAAATAAGTGGAATTTTCCCTTGTGTCCTAAGATTAAGCAGATCATTGATAAACAAATTGATTACTTGGTGGAATGTATTCCACTAAAGCTGATGACTTCAATTTTCTGGTTGATTGTGGCAATGGAGAGCAGTATAAAGTTGATATGAGGGCACACACTTGTGGGTGTAGAAAGTGGCAACTAAGTGGAATTCCTTGCTTTCATGCACTAAGTGTTGTGCACCTGCAAGGTTGGGCAGTTGAAGATTTCACTCACTCTTGCTACAAGGTTGACATTTACAAAAGAGTATATGAACCAGCGGTCATGCCTATCAATGGCAGGAAAGAGTGGGCTCCTACTGGTTTCATACCACCTTTGCCCCCTAATGAAGGTAGGACACCTGGCAGGCCAAGTAGGGCTACAAGAAGGGGGCCAGATGAGCCCAAAACTAGAAAAAAGCCAAGAGGAAAGGTAAGGGTTATGACCAAAGAGCAAACCATCAGAAGGCAACAAGTGACCTGTAAGTGCTCATATTGCCATGTGGAAGGCCACAACAAGAAGGGGTGTCCATTATTGAAGGTTGTAAACCCAAACTCATGTCAGAGTGTGAATAACTCAAAGGTACTATGCATTCAGTTAATGCTCAATTTATGGATACTGAGTACATTTAATGTAATAGCTAATCAGTTGTACTTCTGACTTATTTAATCTAAATTGTACAAAAGGTAAGAAGAGAGGACAAAGGTGTACCTGCACCAGAAATTGGTACATCAAATCAAGAAGCCTCATAGGTACTATATATTTGGTTAATGTTCAATTTATGGATTCTGAGTGCATTTAATGTGATAGCTAATAAGTTGTACTTCTTACTTATTTGACATTTGTAAATAAATTTACAGGTAACAAGCTCCAGTGATTGGAATATCAACTAAAGAAGCCTCACAGATACTATGTATTCAGTTGATGTTCAATTATGCATCAAGGGTGGGTTGTATGTATTGATTTATGAATTTTCAATCCATGTATACAGGTGAAATCTACAAGACCAACCTTGAGTAATGTGAAGCATGCAAATAACCATCAGAACCCAATCTTGAAACAATACAAGCAACCACCTACGGTTTTTCAACAATTCCAACAGACAATGCCAAGTAAAGGTGTCAACATTAGAGGACTAGCACCTATTGTTGGTAACCATATCATCCCTAGTCAAGAGAGTTGCATATCAGGGAGAGAAACAAGGATGAAAGAAATATTTGCAGAAGCTAGCAAGAAGTATACTTCTATAAGCAGCTTAGTGGGTTGCATGAATTCAGTAAAAGACAAAGTCAAGAAGAAGGGCAATGGTCCAAACTGAATGTAGTTACTCTTGTGTTTGTTATGATGGCTGAATTTGTTGATCTGGATGACTTGATTTGATGGTAGATAACTTTTGTTATTTTTGGTGGTTTTAGACTAGTGCAGTTGGTGGAATGGTGGTTGAAAAATTTTTAGAACTAATTTTGGTGTTTTTGGTGCACTTCAGTTGTTGGAGTTGTTGAACATGATTAGATCTGTTTTGGTGCTTTTGGTCTAGTGCATTAGTGGAAACTGTTGAACAGCATATGAATGCTATTTTGTTGCTTTTGTTTGTGGAATTTCAATGGAATTTTTTTCTTTTGCTTTTGGTGTACTTCATATGTTTTGTGGTAATGTATATTCTATTTGTTTGTGGTAAGGATACTTTGTACTTTGTTTTAGTGTACAATTATGGACAGGTTTTAATTCGAAATCAGATTTAGAATCAGATTAACACCAGATAAGCCAAAACAATAGAGCATAGCATAACAAATGCCACTACAGATTTTCACAATCTCATTACAACAACAACAATAAAACAGATCAAATTCAGAATCAGATTTAGAATCTGATTAACATCAGATAAGCCAAAACAATAGAGCATAACAGATGCCACTACTGATTTTCACAATCTCATTTCTACAACAACAATAAAACAGATCAACTAAGTGATAACTACAATAAATTCCAGACATCTTAAATTTCTTCATAGTAGATGATAAATGAGCATTGTTCAATTTCTTCAAGGACTGCAACTCTGCTTCAAGAACCAAAATCTTCTTCTAAAGCTCAACCATTGATGTTTTTTGTTGTTCCAATAGAGAAAACTTCCGCTGCAATTCCAAGATTGAATCCGACGAAACTTGCGAGTGGGTGGTTGATGGATTTTCATACCATTTGAAGAATTTGCATCCACCATTATTCCAGTTCTTACAGCCGTGGAACTTCTTCCCAGGATTTGAGGATGTCTTCAAAATGCGGACTTGAGTTCTTTCACCACAATCGCAGTACAAGATGGATTGAGAAGATTGTGAGTGAGAAGAAGAGGACATTATCGTCGAAATTTAGTGAGAAGAAGAGGAGAACGGGTTAATTAGGGTTACGGGGAGAAAAAAGATGATGGAAAAAGAGGGGAAATGCCATATATATGCCACAGATATGCCACGAACTCTTCCAGCGTGGAAAAAAAGTCCACGTCGTTTCGATCCGTGTCCACATCATCTTGTAATCCCGGCCCTCGGGATTAATGTACTAAATCTGATGAAAATTATAACATAATGGACCATTTTTTATGAGGAAAAAGATAGTGTACCAAAACTGTACAGTGGACAAGTTAGCGGACCAAAATTGGATTTTTGTCGTATATATTATAAAGTATAGTTGTAAGTAGGGGCAGATCTAGCCATATAAATGAGTGAGGGCCTAATCTTTAAAAGAGATTAAATATTGTAGATTATAATTAAAAATTTAAAGCACAAACTAAAATTTACATTTATTACATATAACTTTTCATAGCTTGAAACTGCATTTTATCCTGAAATAATTAAACACCTCTTTTACTATTTTCTCACACATTTCAATTCATTTCAAAAATTCAAAACAGAAACATCTACATGCAAGAAAATTAATATTTCAATCATGCAGTCACCATAAAAAAAAATAATAATAAAAAAAATAAAAAAATAAAAAATAAAACCATAATCAAATCAATGCTTAATGCATACGGACCCTGAAATAAAATATACACAAGTCATAACCAAATTTTTATATGTTCACATTAATAAATTAATTTAAATATAATTACTTGCATTTTTACTTTTAACATTACTTTAAACAACTCTTCTTAAGAGGAAGAGCATTTCAATTTTAACCAAAAGAATATAAGAAAGTTTGCAACTATAAAATCTTAAATTATTAGCTATACACAAATCAATCGCAACTATAGATTACAGAACAATTACTACATACATACTAATAAAAAAGTGTAATATCTCTCCAATTTAGTAAATATAATTTTTCAACAATCCACTTCTTTGTCATGTCTATATGGACACCTCTTTATTTTCTGAGACCAACCATATGTAAACGTTATATTATTCAGTGTGGGCTTCGACCCACACTAGTCTTATGCTGAATCGACCGTTGGTTGTAAAGTATGCATAATTCAAAAAATATAAATAAGTTCATTAGTATTTTCGACACGACAAATCTCCGTCTAGGCGCTAAGCACCAACCCACCATGAGAGAATGCCTTTTAGAACTTGTACTTAAGTGTAAAAAAAGAAAAATTATAGAGATTGTAGCAATATATTTTAGAACTTATACTTAAGTGCAAGAAAAGAAAAATTATAGAGATTGTACGAATATGATTACTTCATGAAAAAGATTTTTTTTCTTGTAAAGGTGCATGCGCACCGCGTGAGGAATTTTTTAATATATGTGAATGACTATTTTGTCCCTGATGTAATTGTATTATTACGATTGTACTATCAGAAGTTTTCCTATAAATAGAGACTTCAGTTATAATGAAAAACACACCGAAAAGAATACAGTTTCTCTATTCCCTATAGTATCAATTCTCTAGTTTTATAACACGCTATCAGCACGAGCGCTCTACCTGGTCAGAAAGGTAAGAATATAACAATATATATGACTTACACATTACCATTATTCTTGACAAGTTAGACTCTGCCACAGTCAAGGATATGTGGTATGAATATACTAAATATGACATTATTTACCATTATTCTTGACAAGTTAGGCTCTGCCACAGTCAAGTATATGTGGGAAGAATATACTAAATATAACATTATTCACATATTACCATTATTATTGGCAAGTCAGGCTATGCCAATGTCAATAATATGTGGTAAGATGATATTATTAAATTTGCTTATGAAATACTAATTATGAATAATAACTTCAAGTTATATAAATAATATTATTACATATACTTAACACCCACAAACTGGTTTATCCAGTAATGTGGCGTGAAATTTATAACTATTTATTCTTGTATCCACCAAAAGATTTATCGAGTAGTGTGGAGTGACATTTTTAGTTGTTTTGCTACTTATATTCATTAAATTGTTTACATAGTGGCTCGGAAAATTTTTAAGGTAATATACATGATTAACTAGAATTTTATAATCATGAGTTGATTAACTAACAAATATTATATCATTAATTTGTTTCCAACGGCTACTTAACGGCTATATTGCAACGGTTATTTATCAATCTATAAATATAACACTACATTTCATATATTAACACTCATTCCAAATACTAATATATATTCTCCTCAAACGAATAGAAAAAAAAATGTTTCATCTACTATTTATAATCACCATTATATTGTTTATTATATACGCTTTGGGAATTTTCACAATGATGTATCATAATCCTGAATTTATATTTTATGTATTAGGTCTTTGTATAATGAGTTTATTATTTGTTCTTCTGTACGTTTTGGAGAATTAATGATTGTATATGTAATTTTTCCGAATCTAAGCATTGGTGTTTTATTTTATAGTTATCATGGCAAATCTGGTCAAACTCGAATTTGAAGCTCTTGATATATCTGGAAAAAATTATATTTCATGGACATTGGATACCGAAATTCATCTGGCTGCAAGGGGGTTGGGAGAAACAATAATCTCCCCAAATAATTCATCAATACAAGATAAAGCTAAAGCAATGATATTTCCGAGACATCATTTGAATGAGGCATTGAAAAATGAATATTTAACTGTGAAAGATCCTGCAGATCTCTGGAAAGCCTTGAAAGAAAGGTATAATCACCAGAAAACGGTGATTCTCCCCCGGGCTCATTATGAATGGATGCACTTACGCTTCCAAGATTTCAAAACTGTAAACGAGTACAATTCAGTAATGTTCCGCATTTGCTCGGTATTGAAATTATGCGGGGAAAACATAACTGATTACGATATGCTGGAAAAAACGTTGTCCACATTCCACGCTTCAAATGTACTTTTGCAGCAACAATACAGAGAAAAAGGCTTTGTGGAATATTCTGAATTAATTTCTTGCTTGTTGCTAGCTGAACAAAATAATGAGTTGTTGATGAAAAACCATGAATCTAGACCTACGGGGTCTACAGCGGTACCTAAAATAAATATTGTAATATCTAGATAGGGAACTGAAAATAAAAACAGCCAAACTCATGTGCGTGGATATACCTCAGGGCATGGTCGTGGTCGTGGACGTGGTCGTGGATATGGTCCGGATCGCCAAACCGGCCGAGGCCACAAATTTCACCAAGGGTATAACTCGGGCAGAGGATACAATCGTGGACGAGGCCGCAACTATGAAAGGGGGAGAAATTTTCGGCCAAAATTCGAACATAACAATGTGACGGAGAATAATAATGAAAATGCATGTTATCGATGTGGAAGGAAGGGACATTGGGCACGAAATTGTCGTGCTCCAAGACACGTTGATAATTATAACAATTCTCAGAAATCAAAAGATAAAAATATAGAAACCAATTTTATGGTTAAGGAATCTTCTGAAAATGATGCAACACGTGTGGATGATGACTATGGCATCGATGACATATTGAAACTGGATTTTGCCGATGCAGTGTTTGAAGACAGAGATGGAAATGACCAGGAGAATAACTGATGATCATGTTTTTTACGCTTTCTAAGTTTTGTTGTATTTGTGTGTGGACTTCTTTTTATCTGTATTTCGAATTTAATCAATAATAAATGTTATTTTCTTTTAGATCATGGATCAGTCTCGAATCCAAAATGGAGATATATGTATTGCAGATTGTGCCACTACTCATACTATACTCAAGGACAGAAAATATTTCGTCAACTTGATATTAAATAAATCAACAGTAAACACCATATCCGGAAGCGCAAAGATAATTGAGGGTTCTGGCAAAGCCATATTTTTTATGATGGGAGGTACCAAATTTACGGTAAATGATGCATTATTCTCCCCAAAATCAACAAGAAACTTGTTGAGTTTTAAAGATATTCGAATGAACGGATACCACGTTGAAACAATGAATAAAGGGGGAGTTGAATATCTTTCCATTAACTCAAACAATGCGGGAAATAAATGTGTTTTGGAAAGGTTACCCGCTCTATCCTCGAATTTATATTACACCCAGATTAATATAATCGAGGCTTATGCTGCAACAAATTCAAAGACGAATAAAATGTTTAAACTTGGCATGATCGACTTGGTCATCCTGGTTCGATAATGATGCGAAGAATTATTGAAAATTCTAGTGGGCATCCATTAAAAAATCAGAGGATATTGCAAACACATGAATTGAAATGTGCCTCATGCTCTCAAGGAAAATTGATAATGAGACCATCACATACTAAAGTCGGACATGAATCACCATTATTTTTAGAAAGGATTCATGGTGATATATGTGGACCTATTCATCCACCTTGTGGTCCATTCAGATCTTTTATGGTGTTAATTGATGCCTTTAGTAGATGGTCTCACGTGAGTTTATTATCCACTAGAAATGTGGCATTTGCTAAATTTCTTGCCAACTTATTAAATTAAGGGCTCAATTCCCAGATTATACTATCAAAAGAGTCAGACTCAACAATGCTGGAGAGTTTACATCTCAAGCATTTAATGTTTATTGTATGGCAGTGGGAATTGATGTTGAACATCCTGTGGCACATGTTCACACTCAAAATGGTCTTGCAGAATCATTGATTAAACGACTGCAACTTATAGCTAGACCATTGATAATGAGGACAAAACTCCCCACTTCAGTATGGGGACATGCTATTCTGCATGCAAATGATCTAATTCGAATAAGACCAAATGCACACCATACATACTCGTCATTACAGTTGGCATATGGTCGAGAACTAAATATTACACATATAAGAGTTTTCGGTTGTGCAGTGTATGTACCAATTGCTCCGCCCCAACGCACAAAAATGGGGCCCCAAAGAAGGTAGGGAATATATGTTGGATATGATTCTCCATCAATAATCAAATATCTTGAGCCAAAAACGGGTGATGTTTTTACAGCTCAGTTTGATGATTGTCATTTTAATGAAGAATTGTTCCCCCCTTTAGGTGGGAATGAAAAATCAATTGAGAGAAATATTGAATGACAAACATCATCAATATCATATCTTGATCCTCCCACCAACCAAAGAGAGCAAGAAGCTCAAAAGATCATACATCTGCAGAATATTGCAAATCAATTGCCTAATGCATTTACTGATTTAAAAAGGGTGACCAAATCACATGTAGCAGCCGTAAATGCCCCTGCTCGAATTTAGATTCCAAAAGAAATGGCAAATGACGATATGCCAAATGAGTTAAAAACACTCTTAAAACGAGGAAGACCAGTTGGGTCTAAAGATAAGAATCCTCGAAAGAAAAGAGAAATTCATGACTCGAATTTGAAAAAGAATCAAGATGATGGAAAAATTTCGGGACGAAATGAAAATATTGAAATCTCCATCAATTACGTAAATAATGGGAATCTTTGGAAGCGTGATGAGGTCATTGATGATGCATTCGCATATATGGTATCACAAGAAATTGACAAAGAGGTTGAGGATCCTGAACCAAAATCTATGATTGAATGCCAGAAAAGACATGATTGGGACAAGTGGAAAGGTGCTATTCAAGCCGAGTTAGATTCACTTAATAAACGGAAGGTTTTTGGATCTATTACCATTATACCAAAAGACATAAAACCTATTGGATACAGATGGGTTTTTGTCAGAAAAAGAAACGAGAAAAATGAGATCACAAGATATAACTCGTCACCTACGAGGAGACACTGGAATGGAATCAAGCACATATTCCGTTATCTCCAAGGGACAATCGATTTGGGATTGTTTTACTCAAATGATAAAAAACATGAAATGATCGGTTTTGCAGATGCAGGATATCTATCAGACCCCCATAAAGCAAGATCTCAAACTGGCTACGTTTTCACGATTGGTGGAACTGCATTTTCTTGGCGTTCCCAAAAACAAACATTAGTCGCGACATCTTCAAACCATGCTGAGATCATTGCACTTCATGAAGCAACTAGGGAGAGCATCTGGCTCAGAAACATGACTCAACATATTCAACAAGCCAGTGGACTATCGAATAATACTGACCCGACGGTGATATTCGAAGACAATGCAGCATGTGTCGCTCAAACCAAAGAGGGATACATTAAGAGTGACAGAACTAAACATATCCCGCCAAAGTTCTTCTCATATGCTCAGGAGTTTGAAAGAAACAAACAAATCAAAGTTCAATACATTCGATCAAGCGATAATACAGCAGATTTATTTACGAAAGCGCTTCCGACTACAATGTTTCGAAAGCATGTGCACAATATTGGAATGAGACATCTTCGGGATTTGCATAGATAATAATTCGAGGGGGAGTATGTGCGGCTGTACTCTTTTTTCCTTATCTCGGTTTTTTCTCACAGGGTTTTTCCAGATAAGGTTTTTAACGAGGCAGCATAAACGCACAGTAAATAGTGGTAATTCTAAAGGGAATACTCCACTAAAATAGTCATTCAAGGGGGAGTGTTGTAAAGGTGCATGCGCACCGCGTGAGGAATTTTTTAATATATGTGAATGACTATTTTGTCCCTGATGTAATTGTATTATTACGATTGTACCATCAGAAGTTTTCCTATAAATAGGGACTTCAATTATAATGAAAAACACACCGAAAAGAATACAGTTTCTCTATTCCCTATAGTATCAATTCTCTAGTTTTATAACATTTTTTTTATTGTTATAGGAACGTGAAAAAAACGAATGTTATTTAATTAAAAAATTAAAAAATTAAAATAAAAATAAAAAAAAAAAAAAAGAAAAGAGATNAGATAAAAGAGAAGAAGAAATGAAAATATCTCGATTCTAGTCCTTGACCACGCTCCCACCCTTCCAAACGAGAGGCTAGAATTCAACCGCCCAAAATCGAGCTCCATCAAGCCCCCAATAATGGCGGCAATCTCCTCCCTCCAACCAAACCTCAACACCATCGCTTCCAAGCCGTGGCCGCCATATTTATTCGACACGCGCCGTCGGCTCCACAGAATTCCCTGGAACTCGCGGCGCAATCCTCCTCATGGCGGCGGCGTCAGGAAATACCCCCTCGTCCGAGCTTACATGGAGGAATCCAACACCATATCCAGCTTCGCAAATAAAATAATCGGGTCGTTACCCGTGATTGGGCTGGTGGCCCGGATTCTCAGCGACGAAGGAGGTGTGGGCGGGGATATTGTGGATTTCGCCGAGTTCAGGCGGCGGGTGGGGAATAAATGCTCCGTTAATGATTCCAGGGCTTTGTTTGAGTTTCAAGATCGACGGGGCAAGGTCATATTTCCGTCCACAATTTCGTAATGTGATCATCTTGGACAATGTTTGTGTTTTCTGCATTCGGTTTTTACATGTGAATTGAGTTCTCGTGTTATATCTGCAATTCGTTCAATTTTTCAGCTGGTTCTGATTTTGCTTAATTCGCTCAGTCGTGCTTTAGATCTCGATAATTCTGCTTCCACTTTGATTGAAACATACAAACCTAGCATTATGACTTAATTGCTTCATGTTTAATGTTTGATTTGTGCTTCTATGCAGAATTGCTTTCTTCTTCCTATTTTTTTGTTTCGGCTTTCAGTGATTAGGAGGAATATTTAGCGAACAATCCCATTGTCTTGTTTTGCACTGTGAAAATAGATCACCTAAATTGTAGAAATCTAAGTTTGGCTGTGACAACTTAAAATGGTCTTATGAACAGGCTGGGGACCCTTTGTACGTGCTTTTGTGCTGTTGGGTAGCTGCAGTTGGAGCTGGTTTGCTCAAATCCGAGGAGATATTGGAAGGAATTGCCAGGCTTCGAGTTTCAAATGATATTGAGTTTGAGGAGGAAAATTTTATTGCTATGATGAATAACTCAAGAGAGGTTAGTTCATGCAATGGTCTCTTATGTTTGTTTCTCTTTTAAATTGCATCCCATGAGGATTTAATTGGTACATGAATATACTCCTCGAGGATTGTATGCTCACTTTGTAGGATATTTGTATATCTCAAAGTTGATTCTTTTTTTTTTTTTTTTCCTTCTCTATACTTGAGCCAAATCTTTTTGTATTGGAATGGGAGTGTCGTTAAATTGTATTTGTTGGTGGCATTCTCTTGTAGAGACGTGCAAAACTTAAAGCTCCGGCACCAACTATTCCAATGGAAGTTCGAGCTGAAAAGGCTTTAGAAGCTATATATGTTTGCTGTTTTGGGAGGGATCTTATAGAGAAAGAAGATGAGGAATTGTTATCCATCATACTTAATGCCGTTTTTCCCACTGTTGGGAGGCCGATGATCGATTCCATTGTAAAAGAGAAAGCAAAACGAGTTGCTGATGGAACAGATGTGATCTCAATTCCAGAGGCTAAGCCTTTGCCCAAAGAAGCTGTAGAAATTCAAATGAAAGATTTGCAATTCCTCAAGAAAAGAGGCAATAAGTCTTAATACTGTTTTTCTTTTTTTTTTTTCTTTTTTTTTTTAATTTGTATAACATAGGCTCTCTGAGTTGATATTGGGATGAAGTTGCTTCCAATTGTGTGAAAAACTTGAAATTGGCTCTAGCTCGTGCTTGTAACTAACGTATTACCTCGATGGCACTACGTTTTTGAATTATGGAAACTTAAGCTACATTGCTTGTGAGAGATTTTTTGTGAAAATTTTGCTCGCCAACATCTAGTTCCTAGCAAAATTGTTACCATGAGGTTGAGTTACCTGCACGTTGTATACTTGTATTCTTTGAATACTGGAAACCGACGTTCTTTTATCTATCTATATCTACATGTATCTATTTTACATATGTATTATTATAAAAGCAGGAATAAATTTTAAAAAAATTACTTGGAAAAAGGCCTGAGAGACTGAAATTCTTTATGAAGTGTGTGAATATAGTCATATACCCATGCTTCTATCACATATTTTTATTAAAATGGATAAAAATGGTTTCATTGGACTAGCCTAAAAAAAAAAGGAAAACTGAAATTCTGAAAAGTGTATATACGTATGTATGTTTTTTACATGGTATGTATTTGAATTATAAATTATCATTCAAACATACTCTTAAATTATAAAAAAAAAAAACTAATTATATAATATAGTAATTTTACTCATTATTATGATTCAATACTAATATATTTAAAGTTTCTAAATACATGTATTTAGAAACTTGCCAGCACACTGTTTCATAATCACACTCAATTAATGATAAAATACACTATACAAAGTTTAATTTACTAAGAAAATAGGATTCTAATCTTATATTATACTCCCTCTTATTTTTATTATTTGTCATCCCAACTTAATTGATCATTTGTTAAATAAATATCGTTTTGGCTATTTTGTACATATTTTTCCCTTATTACCCTCATCTAACTAATAAATACACTACGTCTTTTCATATTCACTTTCCATCTTTTCTCAAAATATCAATATCTATCCTCATTAATGAGGGTTATTATTGACAAAAAAAATATTCTTAATTATTGTGCAACTTCTCAAAATGACATTTATTAAAAATAAGAGGGAGTATGTAATAGAGTGTTATCAAATTGTTAATGATTATTGATACAGTATAATACATTTTGTGTAATTGCCATTTAATTTATGCTAATCAATAATAATATCTATAAAAAAATAAGATACATTTAGTTAGAAAGATCCTCAATTATTTTATTAATATTACACATGAACGAGCCTCGACTCGTTCGATAAGATTCGTTAATAGAGGATGCGACATTTACATGCAAATGGAATATTACATTTTCAATAACAAAATTTAAAGTAACATTATTAGAATCATCATAGGTAGATGGAGTTTGCTTAGAGATGATAGTTCATCTTTGATTTCAGCAAAATCAATCATTTGGTCAATTGTTAGTTCCTGCAACTGTTTGTAGCAGTGAGTTTGGACACATGATTAGATTGAAGTGAAAGCTAAGGGCATATAGAGAATCTTTTAACTGAATGTTATCAGATAACCTAATATTTCCCAAGTGAGTAGCAACAATAGGATTCCCAGTATAAAAATTTGTATGAGTATGTTCATGAGAAAAGATTGATATATCACATAAAATATGATATGTTGCTCTAGTATCTAAAATCCAAGTTGTCCTGGATAAAGATCTAGTAGAAGTACGAGAAAAGACAGGAGACTTACCTTGAGGCTCAACATAAGCAGTAGCAACCATAGAAGCTGCTGAAATGTTCCCACTAATATGTTTATCTTCCTGAGACTTTCTAAACTCTAACAACTCATGAAATAAATTGTTAGTAAGGGAAGAACTAGTAGTAGTGATTGTGTTTTCATCAATGGCAGCATGCGCAGTGGTTAGGGTGGATTCTAGGGCCTCTTGGACCTTCCCAATTACGTGTGTATCCAGTGACTTGGTAACATCTTTCAGAGAGGTGATAGTAGCCGCAATGGATATATTTAGGACGAGATCAGTCTCTTTGGCAGGTATTGAATGATTTATGAGTATTATGTTTTGTGTAATGAGGTTTGTAATTATTATGAGAGGCAAGATAAGATTTTGCTAGCATGCCCAAAGAATCAATATGTTTTGTGTTGAAGAGTGCTCTCTGACTTTCTTCTTGAAGTAACAAAGAATAAAGAGTTGAAAAAGTAGGCCTAGGGTTAAAAAGCAAGAAATGACTCCTTAAGGAAGAGTAGGAATCATGTAGGCCAACTAAGAATTTCATTAAATAGTCTTGTGGTTGTGCCATGGTCATTGCCTCAAGTAGATCACAAGTACAATTTACAAAAAACCACAATTACATTTGAACAAAGGTCTATATGTAAAATATTCATCTCAAAAAGATTTGAAAACAAAGGTCTAATCAATTGTGCTAAGCGATTTCTCTAATTTAATAATCCTAGGGCCGCTACTCATAGCATATCTATTACGAAGTGTTGGTGTATATACTGAAAGCTTGGCTTTAGATGTATTTACACTAAACTCGTTTGAATGAGAATCACGTTTAATTAAACAAGTCTATGTTCTGTTGTTTTGCACTTAAATAAAATAGTTCATTATCGGGTGAGCAGAAAATCATTTTATCAGTGACTTTCGAAACAAGATTAGTTGGTTCACAACCAAGATGAAAATGAATAACCCATCGTGAACGGTTGTAGTGTTAACCGTACAGTTGATCTTGACTGATTAGTTACACTAGTACACTTTGTGCACCAGTACACTTTGTATATTGAACGAATCCAAAAGAGGAGAATTTCGTTTTATACTGATCGTCGTAAACGAACTAGGCCTCGGTTAATTAATGCGTACTCTTAACCGGTAAGATATAAACAGGCATGTGCATGCAGTAAATATTACTTTGATTCACTTGAGTGAGATTTAGTTTACTGAGTCAATATACTTACTGTTTTGGGTAATATTATTGTATGTACGATATGCTGTTAGAATATTTACGGTCACCGTGTGCGATAGTTTGATTGTGTCCCCGGAATGAGCTCATGAAGGATTATTATGTTAAATCTGGTCAGTGAAATTTATTCTGATATAATAATAGTGGAATGAGTGGTACTAGTCTCGGTTATAGATGTCGATTTAATTTAATTGTCAGTAATTAAATTAATTGATGGATATTATATCTTAAACACGAGGAGATAAATCGAATAATCATTATTGGAGCCTCGAATATAATTCGGGAATTAAATTAGGAGTTTATTCAGTAATACTACTTTAGTGAAATGGATTATTCCTATTTGGGTTTGGTAGGCTTGGCCTATAGTCTAATCCTAATAGGGGAAGCCTAATTTAATACCTTCTTAGGTTCCCTGTTGTAGCCTATAAGTACATTACATCTCTTGGGATTAGGAGAAGAACTCATTATTCACGTGAGACACAAAAACCGTTGACCCCTTTGTGCTCTCACTCTCTCTTGTGTCTTCTTCTTCTTTTCCAAGTAATCCCAGTAGAGATATCTACGATTTCATCGCCCACCAAGATGATCGGAGAAGATGTCGGGTCATACACATCTGAGGTAGTCGAGCGATATATATATATATATATATATATATATATATTATATAGTTAGGGTCATATGAGAATGAAAGATAGTGAAAGAAATGAGAATAAATCTAGATCATTAGATATATCATATTGATGGGTAAGATTAAGTCAAAATTTGGTCAATCATTAACGGCAGAATAGTAATTTAACATAAACATAGTGGTCAATGTACATATTTGACTACTAAATAAAGGTAAATTAGATATTACACACACCATTGGTCCCACCATAATCTACCCACCACATTTAATATCTCTCTCTCTCTCATAATCACACCAAAAACACACACTTACACGCAGAGAACACACACACAAACAAAATTTGTACCACCATTTGCAGCCACCGTCTTCCGCCCGCCACTGGCAATAGGTCGTCCGACGTCGTCGCCACCATCCCCAACAACCGTCACCAACCGGCCATCGCGCAGGTCCAGATCGTCCACACCTCCGTAGCAGCCAGCCGCCGAGAGTCGCCACCAACTGTCGAGTTCCACCGCAAGTTGCTACCCGCTGCCGACCCCTTGCCGGACCACTCGATGCTGACACTGACCTCCGTCGGACCTCCGCCAGAAATAGCAGCCCGTCACCGCCACAGTCTGGCACGTCCCGTCGCCTCCGCAGCCCGGCCTATCCCGTCGCCGCCACATTCCTGCCACCGCTTCATCCCACTACTGAAGCCATCCCGTCGTTTCAGGCAGCCGACCCAGTGTGAGGTGGCCGAGAAAATCCAGGCCACGCTCGATTCAGGCAACCGCCGCCGGAATCGACCATGTGGCCATCAACACGTACTGCCGACAACGGACGTGAGCAGCTGCGGTGGGTACGGCTGAAGTTTCTGCTAGGGATGAGTTAATTTTGGAATTTGGGGGGCTAGGTTTTGTAAATTAGACAACTCCTAAGGACTTAAATGCAAATTACAAAAATTTAACCTTTTTTTAATGTTGTCAGATTTTGGCCTGTTTGTTTTAACTGCAAAGTGCAAACTATATTAGTTAATATAGTTTATTTTTTATTTTTGTTATTTGAATTGAAAATGACATTAAATTGAAATAATCGAGTTATAATAATAATAATAATAATAATAATAATAATAATAATAATAATAATTGAACCAAAATATAAAATTTTGTATTAAATTTTTGTTCGTTTGATCTCGTTCGAGTTTGTGCAATCTGGTAGACATTTATGTGCAATTCGTATAATCCTAATGTGCATTCGCAATACATAAAAATTACAAATATAAAAATATTATTGAATTTCATACAAAAATATAAATAAATAAAAAAATGTAATATTTTTTTCATATAGTTCGAGATATTCGGTTATTTTGTTTATTTAAAAAAAATTAAGTACGACCAACTAATATTATTCGATCGATTAGCATAATTACTATAATTTTGGTTGTAATTTTGGTAGGTACATCGTGTTATTTTATAAGGTGCAATATGTCGTATTATAATGTGCAATGTAATACTGTATAAAGTGCAACATATGAATACGTAAAGTGCAATACTGAAATTTTTGATACGTTGGCATGCTTGTGTGTGTGTTTTGT